ACGGATTGGACCTTTTAATAGTATGCACTTGTGTCGATTCCACACTTCCCGATTATTTATTATTTTATTACCGTCTAATGCTCTAATGTTATTGTCGCTTTTTTGGACTTTATCAATATCATCCCGTGCATCTCCTGCGACAACATTCTTGTTGTTAACACTATTAAAAATAACAAGAGCAGAAATTAACAAAGAAAGTTGAAAAAATGATTGTCATGCTTTCTTTGGATATCACCAAAACCTATGATCGTGTTAGCTTAAAGAAGCTTGGTAGAAATTTTGCAAACTTTCCAATCCCTCGTCAAATACCTTTATGGACACTAAATCTTTTATCCGAGCGTTTGCAGACCAAGTTGTGGTATATGGTGGTATTCCTCAATCTATATGCAGTCAAGTTGCATGACGTGCAAGACGACAAAACTCATATTTTTCAATAGGTTGACGATTTTTTAATTACGTATCCATACAACCACAAACCTGTTTCATTACATTGTACAGCTAATTTGCACGACCTTCAAGACGACAAAACTCATATCTTTCAATACGCTGACTCATTCTTTTCAGTGGCCGCGAGTAACATCTCAATAGAAGCTAATATCTTTTTATTTTCCTCTTCGTTTTAATCCCGGCAAAGCAAATAATTTTTTTTGCCAAAAACTCTAAACGCGAAAATAGCCTTTTTTTACAGGAACTAAGGTCAGGTGAAAGCTCTTCAATTCCTAGGCACAATACTAAATAATAACCTAACTTTTTGTGGACATGACGTGAAAGCCATCAGAGACTGACAATCTAGATGCAACATCATTGAACTCACGACTAACAATCAGTCAGGATTGCCTCCCAAAAGCACTGACACTGCACTGAACATCAATCTGGTCTAAGATCGAATTTTCACATACTTATATTGTAGTTTTCGGAAATATGTTGAGAAACGTGTACAAAAGCTCAAAAATAGAATGTTAAAATGTTGTAACGGACTGGCACCCTCAACCCCTCAACATATCCTCAGTCTTTCCTTTTTCTCTTTTTGACAAGATGAATCCAACCCCTCTCTATAATTTTTTACCAAGAAGTGTAGTCTTCATGAATTTTCTTGAAACTCTTCCTTACTCTTATTGAGTTGATCGCCACCAGACATGCTTTGAATGTTTATAAAAAAGTTGTTGTTTTTTTAATGATGAGGTTGATTTTCATGCAAAAGCAGGTCCATTTGATGGTACAATTTTGTCTATCACACATACCCCCAAAGAAGCTATGCGGCAATTCGGAATTACATTTTTCAGCAGCTATACGACGAATTTAAAGAGATCACGCGTGCCAAATGTAATCGCCTTTTCTATAAAATAAATCCCAATTTTAACTTAAAACCCCTTTAATTTCTGGGAGATCAAAACGCTCTACACACACATGAGTGTGTTGCACTTGTGATAAAATATATTTAAAAATAATTCGTGCTATACCATGTAATATTTGTGCGGTTTGCAATACTAGTGAATTTGTTGGGCATTTCATCTTCAGATGCCATAGTCTCTGATATTAAAAGTTCTTCCACCCATTTGAAATTATACGGCAGCCATCTCGACCTCTTCGCAGCAGAGAATTGGCGTCATCTTGGGGAACTAGCTTGCTTTGTTAAAAAAGCGAATTTATTTTTTTAATTCACTACAATTTTGAACTTTTCCTTGTTTTATGTTCAATCAAAATTTTTTCTGGAAAATTTTTTTTCAGCGAAAGGTTGCGAACCTATTCTTACGTCACTACATGCAATTCAACAATCTACAATTATAGTTAACATATTGGTCTTAATATATAATATCATTGCCGGTGTGTTTTTGTTGTCTTGATAATATGCATATATATTTCCTGCAAATAACCATCAAAATTTATTATCCGGATATATAAGCCATACTTCTCATTGGCTTGGTCCATTCCAACTCAACTTCCAGAAAAAAAGTAATGAGATGATGAAGATTTTATTGAACTTCTATGATTTATATACTTTATTGCAGTTTACAACTTTAATTATGTGCTTTGTAATTTGTTTAAGCAGACGTATTTAGGAAATATTAGCTAATGACGCATAAAATTTACTTAAAGCTAATTCAGATGAATGTAAAAAAACAATTACATTTTTTTAAAGATGGTTAAATGATTTCTGCTTTGTGTGATTTCGCAAGGCTGCATTTGAAGAATTTTAAAATCAATGAAGACTACGTTTTGTCATGTAACTACAAATGTATTTGTTTCTAATTTATGACGAATATATCTGTAATTTGCTCTAATTGCTACTGGAACTGGAGCTATCACTACGTAACGAGCTATTCGATGAAGTTTTGCGATTTAACTCACTTGAACCAACTGAGCAAAATTTGTTCATGACTATCGGTGACGAAGATGGTGAACAACTGTTGACATTGTGACGATAGGGTTGCGGTGATGTAGGATTTGACAGACCGGATTCATGTATAGGGGATAGAGTAGGCGATCTAGTGCGTAAGAAATGTTTGCGCCGTTGTCGTCTATATAAGTTGTTCACGACTGGCAAACGTTGAAATGATGTCAAATGATTATTGGTATTATTGGACGGATTGGACGCAAACCTCAACGTCTCAGTCAGCTCATCCAAATCTGTAGGATTTCGTATTTTCCTACGTACTGGGGGCGGTAAAACAGGAGGTAATATTGTACCCACCGGTGTTGTATAAGTAACCGAAGTTTCGTCCCGAATAATCGAAGTGGGCAAGATGGAAGTTTTAAAGGTGGCCGAGTTTGAGGAAGTGTTAAGATCGCTTGGGTCAGTAATGTTACTACGTTCATTACCGGTATCTAAAATATTTGTTGTACTGAAGAGCGATTGTGGTGAACTGGCGCCATAGTAATCGCTATACAAATGCTCGCCATTCGATCTAACTTGCAAGTGTAATGGACATATTTGATTTTGTTTGACTTGTTCTCCCAAAGTTGAACTGCTGAAATTTTGGTGTCTACATGTAGATCTTTTGTAGCGATGCAGCGCACGCATTATGTGGCGAAATCTAGCTATTGGCCAAGCACGTGTACTACGCAAACGAGTTTGTTCCGCTTTATCACGTACCGGAGAATTAGGATGAATTATGCTTAAGCCGGTTCTGTTCGGATCCTCCGCTTTGATTGCAGCACCACTAACACTTTTTGCATTTTCAAAATGCATGGTTGTAACATTGCTGTTACTATATTTGTTGGTTGCCATCTCGTGCTCGTGTTTAATACTCAATGAAGTTATCAAGTCATTGGGAACATCAGGGCTGTCAGGCACTCCAACACAGCAGTTCCATTTTCGCCTCCATCTTTGATGTTTAGATATCGATTTCATGCAGCATCGAGAATTGTCTGCATCTGGTATTGGCAGAATATTTGAATATGTTTTTACCTCCTTACGTTGATTTCCTTCCTCTGAACGGTGTGATTTGTGCAGCGAACACTTTGTATCCTTCTTACTTATTGCGGGACTACGCAGACGAAATGTACAAAAAGTGCACCGTTCTGCGTACTGTAAATAGGAGCGATGTGCACTCAAAGTCGCAGTTGTACGTTTTAAATTGCTTACTAATGTTGCTTTCGAAGCAGCAGCACTTACTCGTCTTTGGCTGGCGGCGGCAGTAAATGCCGAGCAGCAGTGATAGGTTTTGAAATTTTTTCCCATTTCTTTTTCAGTTCTTATAACAGCAGGAATTTCTGTTGAAGTACTCTGTTCGACTTGACTTATTTGAAGAGGCGACTTAATGGATGTCTCTTCTAATAACGAACACATGTAGTATATTTTCGAGGAAGTCTGGTGATATTCCCTGGAGTTGGCGCAGCAATGTAACTTTAAGCGTCGGAAACCGCCAGGATATGTATGCACTTCGTTCTCTGCTCCTCTAGACATCTCTGAATTTGCAGAATCGTTGGGATGATGAACACTCGAACAAAAATAAATTTCGGCACAGTCATTAGTCTTTTTGGTCAGGTGATTATTTAAGGATTCATCCTCATTAAGTGATTCATTATTTAAATTATTAGCGCTGATGAGTTGGTTTGCTTTAGTTTCTTGAGTCTGGCGGTGATTGCGAATATACTCGTAAGTAGTAAGACCCAAAAACGAAATATATATGTGGAAGAAACACAGATGCAGAAGTAAACCTGCTGTTACGGCGGCCAAAATACCTAAACAACCAATGACCACCCAAAATATATTTTGATTAATGGTCAAACCAGCAAATGAGATTGTAGTCGAATTGTACGCAATCAAAGTTTGGTTTTCCGTATTATTTTGAAGAATCAATAACGGTGATTCATAGGTACTGTTACTTTGATTGGCCCTTTCATTTACAGCTTCAGTAATCAAAGTCGTGACATTTCCCAGCAGGGACAATGTAGTATCATTTAGGGTAAAAAAATGTGTTCCCTTGTCCACTTTCGTGACATTAGCACTGAAGGTTGGGCTTATTTCTAAATTAACGGAATCATTAGTGCTACTATTTTCATTGGATCTAAAAAAGACATCACTAGAAGCCATTTTTTCTCCTTGTGGTTGGCTTATTGATTCCACCACTTTGTAATGATCAACATTATGCCAAAAATTAAGCCATTGCGGTTTTGTATAATACAAAACAAACTGAGCTACAACTGCTGCTAAAATAACTAACGTCGCACAAACAGCACTAACAACACACATTAGAAAGGCAACATAGTTACGCGATCCTATGCAGTGATTCAACCATTTACAGTGATGATCGAATTTACCCACACATTTGTTGCAAACCGAGCAATGTTTAGTGCCTTCTGATGATGTTCGTATATTACACAAATGACAACGCCCGTTTTCAATAACATGGGCGTGTTTCGACCGGTCAAACTCGGGAATAATTCGATCGTTGCGATGCAAACGTCTTAATTCACGATCTGCCGGGTCAATTAACAATGCTATCAAATGAGAGACGACATGAACTAAATAGAGACCACCAATTAGACCGTACAAAGGTTCTTGCAAATCGGTAGTAAACGATGGTATTAAAAGCCAGTAAGTAGCCAAACCGAATAAAAAGAGAACAATCCAACCAAGTAATTGCAATGGATGTAGCGGCAATTGCAAACCGTTCAAACGTCGACCTTTGCGATGATATACGTCAATAACGTTGTCTTGAAACGAAATTAAGCGAGAAAATTTCCAAGCGTCACCTGAGATTACTGCAGCAGTGTTATTATTATTGAAAGATGTCCTATCCAAAACGATAACTGATGCGTCTGGTATATTTATGCTGGAAACCGCCTCAACTGAAGCCTTTTTACTTAGTAATTTTATTAATTTTCCGGACGGATTGGACCTTTTAATAGTATGCACTTGTGTCGATTCCACACTT